ACCGCGTACGATCGGACGGCAGATTGAATGTAGGAAAGAGAAGGAGAGAGAGAGCTAACCCGTTATTTGTTCTTTTTTGACATTCTTCTTCTCCTCCCATGATGTACGTACGTGAACGAGATGTAGTGAACGTGTCGCATGCGAACGCACTTTTGCTTGTTTGGCGTCAACAAAGACGAGAGAAAAAAAAATCTTGTCTTTTGTGTTAAACTTCAATGTTTATTTCAGATCGAATAATAACAAATGCATAGGACCAATACGAATGAAAAACAATATCAAAAAAGCCAAATCGGCTGCAATGGTCACAGTTCCTACTTCACAACAACAACAACAACAACAAACATCTACTAACCACGATTGGCAAATACCACCTGACGATAATAGTGGTATGCGTTAACGTCTGAAAATTTTCGATATTTATATTTATTGATATGTATACGATTTAGTATTTTAGTAAATAATGAAATGGAGAGTGGAACATTACCACCAGCAACAATGTTATTACATTCTAATGATTCAATTCATCCAATGCCACCATCTGATTCTCCAATGAATCAATTTTCTGATATATTTTCTTCAAGACAATCAGTACAACTAAATAATAAAACAAATAAACGAAAACTCGATGATTTTGTTGATCCATCATCAACTGATTTTGACTCATCATCTTCTATAAAACCACAAAAAACTGAACAAAATGAAACAGAACGATCACTTAGCAGAACAGGAACTCGTAAGAAAATCTTTTCAATGAAACAAATCAGTTCACTTCACATTCGCTTTTTATATAGCTTTGTCAAATGGTCCTCTACCACCACCACCACCTTCTTCAACGCCGTCTCGGAATGGCAATGATAACGGTCCATCATCATTTGATTTTGGTCCAACAAGTAATAATAATAATAATAATAATAACAATAATAATACCGGTAGAAATACACCAAATTCATCATTATTTGCACGGCAAACACCACCACCACCCTCTTTACAACAGCAGCAACAACAACAACAACAACAATCTTTATCTCAACTACCACCACCATCATCATATATGCCAATGTCACCTCGAAATCAATATTCAGTTACCAGTGATACTCCATATTTACAAACAAATAATCAAGTGTTTGTATTTACAACACAATTGGCTAATGAAGCAGCAGAATCTGTATTAAAAAATGAACATCCAAATATTATTGAATACCATAAATCATTACCATCTACTTCTCAATATTTAAATGTTAGTAAATTTTGTTTTTTATTGAAAGAAATTTTTTTTTTTATCATAATGAATTTTCTTTTTAGTCTCTTTCCAATAATATGAATAACAGTCATAATTCATTACTTGGTGGTCCCATGCATATGAATCATGGTCCTCCACCTCCACCTGGATGTCATTCACCTCGAACTATGCAAATGATGATGGGCGGACCAGGACCTCATAATCCACATTTACAACATCATAATAATATCGGTGGACCACCACCTAATTGGCCACATCCACATTTTCATCCACATCAACAACAACCACCATTTGGTCGTTTAACGCCCGGACCTGGTGGTTTACCTCCACCAAGTCATCTATTACCACCAGGTGGAATGATGATGAATGGTCAACCACCATCAGATGGTATTGAAAATTTAACACCTGAACGAGCAAAACATCGAAAAAATCAATTAAATAAAATAGAAGATCTAAAAACAAAAATTACTGGCGGACGAAATCGCGGTGGTAGAGCTAAGGCAAATGCTGCTGCAGCAGCGGCAGCTTCTGGTAATATGCCGTCATCGATGAACGGTGGACCACTACCACCAAATTCACTTGATCCACATCAACAGCAAATGATGATGATGAACAGTCCACATGGTGTCGGTCCACCTCATCATATGATGGGAATTGGACCACCACAACAACCACCGCCACATATGTTACCTCCAGGTATGCGGGGACCTGATGGAATGATGCTTGATATGAATGGTCTACCACCGCCACCACATGGTTATATGAATGGGCCAATGCCACCAAATTTTCATGGACAATATGGTCCAGGACCAGGTGATCCATATGGACAATTACCTCCACCACTTCAACAAGCACAAGCAACACGAGATTGGAATAAAATGCAAATGGAACATATTGAAGGTAAAGTACAACATATGCGTGGACAACCACCACCTTATTCTTCACAATCACCATCATCATTAACACCTCCAATTGCTACGACGTCAACGGGTGGTGCAATAGGACCAAATGGAAAATTACTTTCACCAAAAATGGAACCATCCACTACACCACGTCTATATAAGGTTGGTCAACCAGAAAAATTCATGCCTGATTCATTACCGTCATCAGCGAATAAAAAACTACCTGGTAATCCAGGTGAAGTACAATTAACATCATCACCAACGCAAATGGATTATAATGAAATCGGTAAATAAATTCTATTAGTTTACTTTTCCATTTTTATTATTTCTCTTTAATTCTATGCACTATAGGTATGGAAGGTGAAGAATTGATTATTTCAAGGCATCTGAATCGAGCCTACAGACCAACGAATGGAGTTAGTGGTGGTTTACCACTACCATCATCATCTTCATCGTTAAAAGATGAACCTATGACACCATTAGCACGATCCACGTCTACACCAAATAATAATCTAAATCCATTATCATGTGGACAACAACCAGCTGGTTCAACTACACCTACTCATATTTCACAAGGATCATCATCACATCTTACACCACAAAGTGTATCAGCTGTATCACCACGTCCTGCTAAATTAACTGGAAACAGTAGTTTATCATCACCATTAATGCTTTCAAATAATAATTCATCAGGTAAAGATGAACCATTAGATATGAACGGTGGTCCAAAAACACCAACATCAAATATGGCACCACCATTAAGTAGTATGTTACAAATGACAAATAGTTTACAATCAGCGAATTCTCCATACAATTCATCGAATAATACGGGATCAAAACCACCATCTTTATCTTCAAATCTTAGTGGTAATGGACCACTATTGACTAGTCCAAATCTAGGACATATGGGTAAATCAATGGATCAATTTCCTCCACCATCTCATATGTCTTTACCACCACATCAACAGCAACATATGCAATTTCAAGTATGACTATTTTTTAGAGAAAAAAATAAAACAAAAATAATAATATATATATTTTCTTCTAATTCAGAATATGAATCCACATCATCGAATGATGGGTATACCGGAATCGATGCCACCACACTATAATCCACATCATGGCGGTAATTTACCACCACCACATCCACATATGTATAAAATGATGCCTCCACATCATTCATTCGATCCATCTGGAATGATGCTTTCACATCCTGGTGGTCCACCACGTTCTTCAAAAGGTTTACCACCGCCACAACTTTCAAATGATCCGATGCAACAACATCTTCATCATTTACCACCACCACATTATGTTAAAATGCACAATATGGATCCATCATTAGGTCCGCCACCACCCGGTCATCCTCAACAACATATGCGTTTTGGACCTATGATGGACGATGGTTTTGGTATGGGACCACCACCACCATCACATCATCCACATCATCCACATATGCATCCACATATGCATCCTCATTCACAAATGCATCATCAACAAATGCATCCAAATGATGGTCGACCACCACCACCGCCACAAGCCATTAATAATACATATGTTTCAACGACTATGTCAATACAACAATTAAATATTCAAAGTTTAGGTGCTGGTGGACCACCATCTGAACTTCAGACAGGTACTATTCATTATCATGCACCATCAGCTAATGGTCCTGATTCTCAACAACAAGGACCACCTGGACCTAATGGTAATAATTCAATGTTTTCTTCTCAACAACAACCACAACAATTTGCAACAATGAATAATATGTCGATAAATGATCCATCATTTGCACCACAGTTTAATGATCTTCAACCACCACCATCTAATCTTAGTGTAGATGGCGGACAACCACCTCCTTATTGGTGATCTCAATCAAAGAAAAAGAAATTCAAAATAATTGTATCTCACGTTATTTGTGAGACTTCTTTCATTACTATTTATCTCCTATTTTCTAATCTTAACCTGTACAGACAAAGAATCTCTTTTTTCCTTTTGTTTGTTTGTCTACGGGCATCTTTTTTTTTTTGACTAATTGTATTTTTTTTCTTTCTTCTGTTGTTGTTATTGATGTTGTTCTCTATTTTTTTCTCTCTCTCTCTCTCTCTTTCGTATGTTACCATTCACACACGCACACACACAATGTCGTGCTTATTTGTTGACTATATTATTGTCGTCATCATCAGCGTGTGTTACCATTAACACAACTACCGTCTACTATCTCTCTTTTTTTTCTTTTTCTTTGTTCTCTCAATTCGTTTTTTTTCTTTTTTTTTCCTGTGTGTGACATGAGAAATTAAAATCAAAAAATAGAGTTTATAAAATAATGAGATGACAAAAAACAAAATCGAAAATGTCTATAATGTCATTTTTAGATTCTCATATTCATAGATTTCAAAAGACAAAAAGAAATAAAAATAATTAATGGCAGCTAATACACAAGGTATGGATGGACATGGCAATACCAAATTACCAGCTCAAGCAGCTGCTGAAGGTACACTTGCACCTGGAAAGGAAGCAGTTGTTGAACATATGTTAGCAAAAAATCCACCCTCAACTAGCAATTTGAATGGTATGAATTCACATGGTGATACAGTCGTTCCAGAAAAAGCAGCTGAGGCAAATCTTGATCGTCATGTACATGGTTTACATCCTACATCATCAACTGAATAGGGTTCAAACTATGAAAAACAAGAAACTTATTATTAAAAAATAATCCAGCAGCTATTTTCTTTTTTTTCTTTGTAACATTCAATTTGTCTATTTTTACTCCAGATGCAAAAGACAAAATCAGATGCTAATGAATATTGCCTTTTTTTTCTTAATTTTTTGCTTTTATTATTGCTAATCACATACAAACGTTATATTCTGCTGCAAAACTTTTTGAATTCAAAAATTCTTCTCAATCTGTATAGAAATGAAATAGCTATATACAAAAATATATGTTCTTGAGGGATTGGTTATTATTCTAATACTACTAACAAATTTCTTGAAAAGCTTAAATTGATTTAGATTTGCATAGTTTTAATATAAATAAAATAAAATTTAGTTAGAAAAAGCTTCAATTTCAAATAAATCGATCATATTATATCTTATAATTTCAGAATCTGTTTTGATGACCTTGTCACACGAGACAAGGATGACTACTGAAACTGAATTAATATTTTCTCCGGAACGAACATCAAATAATTCATTTCATATATTTTCTAGTAAAAAAGTAAATTTATTTTATTATGATTTCAAATGATTTATATATAAATATTTATATATTAGACAAGTCGTCGAGGAGCAGCACTACATCAACCACCAAAACCTGTCTCATGTCGTGTTTTTCGATATTTTACTCCAGCTGCTGCTATTAAACCATCAAATGCTGTTTCAGTTAGTACAGATTCTTATGGTGTTGGTATGTATTTTCTATTAATTTATACATTCTTTTTATTTTCTCCTTGAATATATTTAGTATTAGAAAGTCCATTTTATACTAAATCAAATACATCAACATATTGGGATCAATGTTTCGAACATGTTGAATGTATTGGTCGTGGATCATTTGCTGAAGTTAGTGAAATAGTTTTTTTTTATTTAAATATATTGAATATTTTTATTTCTTATAAGGTTTATAAAGTTCGTAATAAAGATGATAATCAATTATATGCTATTAAACGTTCATTAACTAAATTTCGTGGTAAATCTGATCGGTAAAAATTATTTTTTCTTCTCGTTTTGTAATTCATAAATAAACGTTGAATTTAGTGATCAGAAATTAAAAGAAGTTCGTTTTCATGAAGCACTTGCT